CCACCATGGGACTGGGAATGGAGGAGTTGCCTGACGCAGGTCACACTCTGCTGCCTTCCCCATGCTTGTCCTTCTGCACTCTCGGTTCTCTGCTTTTTGTGCTTCTTCCTTGGCACTGGAGATGAATAGTGCTGGGCAGAGCACAGTGCCAGAGAAGCACTTCACAGTGAGGCCGAAGTGCTTGGTGTCGAATCAAAGCAGCTTGGCTCTGAGGCCGGTCCGAGAGCGGTTCCATTAGGATAACCTTCAGTCTTATTTCTCTATTTTTTGTGTGTGTGGGGGGGGGGGTCCAAAAGTTCTGACAAATATGGCATTTGTCCCTCACGTGAGTTTCTCTCAAGCACTTCAAGCAGCTAGAGTGTGGGTCGCTCATGGGCATAGGTTTGCTGCAGGAGGCATATGGTTTGAAGCCCTGGGACCAGGGCATGCCCGGCCCCTGGGGTGAAAATCCCTCAACAATAGGGATTATCTATTTACACTAACACTAACTACAATATCTATATGCACTAAAACTGTACTTAAACTAACAAACTATGAACCAGAGTCCAAAACCACTGAAAAGAAGTCTTGCCAAAGCAAGAGGAGTTATTCCAGCAACATCACGGGCAGTAAGAAGGAACTGAGAGGGTGCATGTCTGGCAGCCCGTCTTATACTGGCGCATGAGCATGCGGCACCAGAGGGCGCTAGAGCCGGCCGACGGATACCACAGAAGGAAAAATCTCGGATAATGGTGTATGTGGAATGTACGTGAGTCAGTACTCAAAGATGATGATTTTCTAGTAGTATACTGTACATCGGAGTCACTGCTTTTTATTTCTCTAAAAATGAGCTGTTTATCTTTCTCCAAACCATGCAAGCACACAGTCAGGAGGGCCTGGTTAAGGAGATCGAGAGATACAACCCATTAAGGAATTGGGGAAGTGGCTGGTGTACCATGGAGAGAGACACAGCTACTCTTAAGGCCAGTTACATATTTTCTCCAACATTAGCTTTGAACTGGCAACATTCAATTAGGATTTTTAGCCTAGCTAACAACTAACTCTGTCCCAACCTCATTAAAGAAAGATGGAAAAGAATAGTTATTTCAGTACAGGACCTTAGTATCCAGCAGTGAAATTTTACTGAGATTTGGAAGCAAATTCAGTCTCCTGGGACCTGGCATGAAGCCATCCAGTTAGTATCATATAGCTGTAGCTTTTGAGTTAGCTGAAGGGGGATAACAGCAATGGCAGCTGTTCTCCTTACAGGACAATGATAGAACTCTAGCCAGGTGACAGTTTTTCGGAATGGTCAAAACCTTCATTAGGATACCCAGGCAAGTTAAAAAGTCCAAGAACAAAATACTTCGCACGTCACAAGTTTGAAGTGCTGCAAAAACATTACATATGAAGCAGAGAGATTCAGCACCTCCGAAAATGGAAGAAGCGACAGGCCACAGTTGAGTCATCCTGCTCCTGCTCCTTAAACTTGCGGTACCGCTCCAGACGACACTCCCGACACTTGTGCAGATGAGGGGCTACATTGATGCAAGATCCATCCTGGAGGAAAGGCTCTCCTGACTGCTTCAGCTTCCTCACCTTACTCATGTCTTTCAGCACAGACTGGCCAACTGTATGAAAGGGGAAAAATGAGACCCCATCAGTCAAACAACAACAGCAATGAACAACTCCAAGAAGCATATTTTCCAAGATCCTCTCTGAAAAATGCATTCCTTCCAGAGTAATGAACCCAGGGTTACCCCTTGCACAGCAGACTGCTCCCCCTAGTTTTGATAGAAACTTTTGCCTACAATAGACTCCCCAAACATGCCATACCACTTCAGTGATGGATATTTTAGAAAGAAAGAAATAATGCAGAATGTGAAAAACAATTTGGCTGAATAATGTTGTATAAACTCAAAATGCTGAAAAACTAGCAAAATGCATCTCCAAGCAATTCCAACCCTTTACTCTTCTCACCTCCAACATGGTTTAGAGTCCACCAAATTGGCAAGACCAAGGATGTATACAATCCAATCCTCTGCCTCAGAGCACTGGATAGTACCATATGCGTCAAATGAAAGTGTAAAACTGCCTTAATAGACAGTTGTGGAATAACATGCCAATGGGAAAGTCTATTAATGGTTATCTTTAATTCTGAAGCATACCCCTGTTAACTGTGCCATGAACTTTCTTAGCTTTTTCCCTAGTGAACATACCTGCAGATATTCTTACATCAAACATCACATCTTTTAAAAACTCCAAGCTTTTTCCCCTACTAATATTTTGTGTCTGTACTAGTAATGCAGGGTTTATACCAGGGTGAAAAATCACAAGGTTTGCCATACAGAAAGTGTGCAGTGCAAAAAACAGTATCCCATCCCTTCATGTTCTCACGTATTCCTGCCCTGCCCTGAGCCCTTCACCTTTCAGGGGGGCTGTACGAGGCCGGCCCTTTGGGGCCTGCTTTCCTTTCCCTTTTCCCAGCAGCAGTTCAGCATTCCGCTCTCCACTGGGGCCGAGCTTGCCAATCAGATGCTCTGGGATTCCCTTTAGACAGGCCTTGGCCTGCAGCTGCTCCTCAGAATCACTCAAGTCTGACAGGTCACTGTTGGTACTAGAATCTGAGTCCTGTCTGGATGTCATGCTCCGCTCGTCTAAAGAGAACCTTTTCACAGCTTCAAAGGGGGCTTTGTTCTCCTGTGCAAACTCTGCCTGTGAAGAGAAAAAGCCAGGCGGGTGCCTGCCAAACACATTAGAAAAAGTTTTCAGGAGAGGATTGTCTTGCTGCCCAGGCCCAACAGATGGCTTTTCTTCTGTTGGGCTGGAGGAGAGCGTGGGCATCTCAATAGGCTGTGTCAGGCTGCCAGTGGGTGAGCTGGAACGGCCATTCCCCACAGTGGATGGGCTCTGAACACCAGCAACAGCAGCTGAACTAGGAGCATTAGAAACCATCTTGGAGGAATCTGTTGTTATGAACAAGGTTTTCTTCTTAGCTAGAGAAGAAGAGTCTGATGAGGTGTGTGATTCTGGCCAGCTAGAAGCAGCCTTTAGACCCATAGCTGAAGGGGGTATAGATACGGTCTGAGATGAAGATGCAAAGCTGCTGAAAGGACTGAGTTCTGCTTTCTCAGCAAATGCCAGGAAAGGATTGGAGGGCTCCTCTCGGGACAGTTTTGGGGGCTGTAAAAATAGGTTTTCATGATTATCTGCAGGTCGAGTATTCAAGAGGCTTCGTGAAAAGGCTGGAGTGAGGGTGGGCATAGACTCCAAGGGCAGCTTCCGGTCCACAGAACTGCCAGATGGGGCTGCAGGTTTAGTGTCTGCTGCAAGAAGAGATTTACTTTTACAGATCCCAGAGCCCAGACTGTCCGCACTCTGCTTGAATGAGTCCCGACTAGAGGGCTCTTCAGCCAAACTCTCTGAGATGACCGTGAAATAGTTACTGGAGGGCAGATTCTGGGACATGCACTGAAAAAATAAGTTCTTTGACAGATCAGAGTCTTTCTGAGTCTCTTGCCCAGTGCTACAACCAAATGGAAACCCAACAGGCTTGTTTGCTGGAGACAATACTCCATTTGATTGGCTTCTTCCATCCCCAAATGCCAAAGGCTGGGATGCAGTTGGGAGAGATGCTCCAAATCCAGAAGAGGTCAGAAGTGAATTTCGGGAATTCTGAAACAAAATTGAAGAGAGTTAACTAACAAAATGATTTCCTCTAAAAAGATGATTGAGTAGCTAAACCAGCAGAACTTTGCCCATTGCTACTAATTACACAATCACATCCTTCACATGCTTCTCACATACCTTCCATGGGAAGTCACAGCAGAAATCATTACTTGCACCAATGCAGCTTTCTCCAAACTTAAAAGTTTGGAATGTCTACCAAACTAATACAGAAAAGGAATTTCCTTCCGCCACCCCCACAGCTGTAACTATCCAGCTCATGGCAGTTACAAATTAAGGGTGGAAAGGCCAATCAAGTTTTATTAATGCCTTGTCACACTATGGAACACAGAACTGATATATGAATTGTCTACCTAATCTGGAATCTTATCTCCAAGAACAGCCAATGCTAGATATTTCTGAGGAAAACCTGAAATCACCATAATGAAGCTAGCTGAGAAATATCTCCTTGTGGTACAATATTGCATCTAGCCCTCAGATCGTCATCCATTTATGTGTTTCAATATAAGAATGTATAGCCTCTGTAATTCTATCCTAGCTAATGTAACTAGAGTGTCTGTGTCTTAAGAATCACTTTTTACCCAATATCTTGCAATAGTAATGGTCTTATACTATGCATTATGGAACAGGTATTTGTCATCAGTTTAAACTCATCTTTAATGTTCACTAATTTTTTTTATGTATTATGGGAAAGCAAGTACTCAATTGGCCTTTGCTATGCTGTTTTTAAATCGTCTTATTCTTTTTTCAGAGTTACATAACCTTTTAATTGTCTTCCATTGTCTGAGAAACAGCATCTTTCTAACAAGAACCACGCTTAAAAAACAGCATGCTTATCCCCGCCTCATATTAGATAATTCAGTTAATCTCCAACCCAATGGAGGATCATTCCTTACAATAACACTTTGACCAATTTATTTTTTATTTTTTAAGTCCCAAGCACTGAGGTTTCCACCACTTTCCTAGGGAGGCTATTCCACAGCCTGATTCCTCCCATTGTTAGGGAGCTTTTCCTGACCATTAGCCTAGATCAGGAGTGGGCAAACTTTTTGGGCTGAGGGCCACATCTGGGTGGGGAAATTGTATGCAGTGCCGGGGCAGGGGGTTGGGGTGCGGGACGGAGTGCAGGGTGTGGGAGGGGGTGCGGTGGACAGGAAGGGGCTCAGGGCAAGGGATTGGGGCAGAGGAGGGGTGTGGGGTGTATGGGGGGCTCAGGGTGCAGGAGGGGGCTCAGGGCAGGGCAGCAGGAGGCTCAGGGTTCAGGAGGGGTGCGAGATGCAGGCAGGGGGGTTGGGGCAGGGAGTTGGTGGGCGGGGTTCAGAAGGGGTTCGGGCTCTAGCCTGGCGCCGCTTACCTGAAGTGGTTCCAGGGTGGCAGCGGCAGGCACCGGAGCCAGGGCAGGCTCCCTGAATGCCTGCCCTGACCCCATGCCGTGCCACTCCAGGAAGCGCTGCAGCCCCTGGGGGAGGGGGAGACGGAGGGCTCCGCGTGCGCAGCCCTTGCCACGCCTCCAGGTACCTCCCCCGAAACTCCCATTGGCTGCGGTTCCCCGCTCCCGGCCAATGGGAACTGTGGAGGGGCGCTGCCTGGAGGCAAGGGTAACACACAGCACCCTCTGCCCTCCTCGGGGGGGGGG